ATCGTCTTAGAATTTTACGCTGATCAAGAATATATATACTTTGTTGGGTCTAAAATGATTATTTCGATGAGTTACAAAAGGAATGACAATGTTAATATACCCTCCATACCTTTTTTGGTGGAGGGTATAAAAATATTGACCGCGCCTACTTTTACGCCCACTATCTTGATTTATCTAAAATCTTTATATTTGCCAGATAATGAAGATATCGGTTTGAAAATTATTACACGAGATACTGTTGACTTCCCCTCCAAACTTAGGGATTTAGTTGGGCTCTAGGGAACTGACCACGCATACTTCTAATCTATCTATATATATCAAATAAACTTGTGTTAATTGCTACGCTTATAACTCAAGAACCGCTGATCTGACTTTAACGATTTACACAAATTCGGAATTGTCTCTTGGCAGAAAAGGATAAAATCCAAAAAATCGCGTAAAAATGTGAAATTTTAAATTTTTCATTTTGACTTTTGAAGTGTACAATAGTAATGTTTTGTTTTGCATGATTTTTTTCCAGTTTGACTTACTATTTCGGAATGTACATTTTTAGTGTTTTTTTTTTTAATTCTAATATGATGTGTAGTCTTTTTGGATGATGATATCAAAATTATTTAACGTGGTCAAACCAAAATTGCTAAAAAAAAAAAACAAAAAAGAGCATTTACATTGCAAAAACTCTAAAATAGGGAAAAACAGAGAACATTTTTTCAATGGAATCAAATTTCAAAATAATAGTAAGGACCAAAAAATGCGAAAAATATGTCAATAAAATATAAAAAAAACATTTTGGCGTGAAATTTTTTCAATTTTGAATCTATATAGAAGTGTACATTTTTTATTGTTTTGAATTCTAAATTAATAATATCAAAAATGAAATAGTACGCAATGCGATGTTAAATGGCGATCTTTCATGTCTGAAATTGGCATTTAGCTTTCAACTCCAGGTCATAACCCCCGAATAAGGGTACAACCCGATTTCAAGTATATCTTACATTTTAACCATATTTTCATACTAATTTCGGCAAATGTTGGTAATTTGGGAAGAAACCATTCTTTTAAAAACTGATCACATTTTGTATAACCGTCATATGATTTAATGAACCGGACATTTGTTTAACCGTCTTTGAATTATACTATGATAAAAGATATGGACATTATGGGGTCTCCAACGCGCAATTTCAATGATAAAACAATAAATTCCCATTATACTTTAAAAACAAGTACAAAAACATTAAGTTCGGACGGGCCAAACTTTTGCCCAAATGTGGCAAAAATCATCAAAATACTGAATATCGGGAAATACGGCTATATGGGTGTTCATAGAAATATGAACATAATTTTTACATTAGTTTAATCTATACATAGACAATGTTCGATCATAAAATATTTTATTGCCGTAGCCATAAATATCGGGAAAACACTTGTGTTGTAAATAAGTGCAGCATAGTTTATGACACTTAATGTGATATGGGGTGCACTGTGATAATGCACTCAGCCGACAGAAGATAAGTGGAGGTTGTTCTAAAAATAAGATACCATAAGATTAATATTGTAGCTTAGCTCTTAAGAAAAATATTTAACCAAATAAAATCAGAATTGAAATAACACCCTAACAAAGCGGTCGTGTTTCTTTTCTCACAGAAAAAGGGATAAAGTTGACAATCGAAGAGGGAGATTGGACTCTATTCTACTTTATATTTGGTCAATCGAGCCTTCACTTTTGTCAAAGTGAAACGAGTTAGCGACCACAAAACGAAAATAGTAGGAGTTTTCCCCCACCAGTGGTAAGAGACTCACTACAAGCAGAAGTAGCTATTCTTCAAAAAAAGAGGAGAATAGCTACCAATAAAAATCCGTTGAGGGATAAAATTATAAAAAGCCATAAGGGCAAAATTTAAACATATATATTTAAAAAAAGACCCACGGGGCAAATTAAAAAAAACATAACATAACAAAAAGAGGACAACAACAGTCCCACATAAAAATATACAATTTTTGAAAAGAGGACATCAAAGTCCCAACTGAAAAAATCAAAAAATCGAAAAAAGCCATGAAGGCAATATAAAAAAGTTTTGAAAAGAGGACAAATAGTCCCATCTAAAGCATTTAAATTAAAAATGAATAAAGAAGTGGAAGAAGATATTACCACTTTGGTAGACTATTTCCAGTTATTAACTTCGACGTCAGCCTTTGAAAAGGTGAAACACGTCGCGGCATGGAAGATACTGGTAGAAAATACATATTACCAGTTACGACGGTACTTGAGGGTACATCACAAATATCTTCCAACCCATATGAAGACATTGTCCTGTGATGTGGATATGTGTATGTTATCAGCAATGAAGCTTTTAGCAACCCGGAGTCGCAATAACACAGACTTGGACATCGATGAAGAAATCGAAGATTCGATGAAACCCTCATTACGATGGACACTCTCGCTGAAATGTGACTATTTGACTTGGGAGGAGCAAGTGGAAGAAAACAGACAACTTAACTATGTCGAAACAAAGGAAGATTACGACAGAGAATTGGAAGATGGTTTGCACGAACAAATGCAAGTCTATGAAAATAATTTACAATCTCTGCAGGGACAAGCAATCGAATTGCGTTCTCAACTATAATCGATAGTGGAAAAAAGTGAAACGATATTGAGAAATGCGAAGGCCCACGAAAAATATCTGCTCGCCAAATCTGAAGAAAGCCGGCGAGCCAAAGATGAACAATTCGAAGAAAAACATCGTGTTCAGAAAGATCAAGTGCGACATCTGAAAATGAAGTTGGAGAAAGTCAATGAAAAATTGGCTAGCTCGGAAAGAGCGCGGCAAGTCTTGGAAGCTGAGAGAGATGACCTGTCCAAGCAACTGTAAGAAAGGGACATAATGCTGTTAATCTAAAACAGATTCGATGTTTAGAAGGAAATATTGTGAAGTGTTTCCCGCCGGCAAGTCCTCATTTCGAGGAACGGGAAGAAGGAGAACATTCTGGTGTCGTGTCAGTGCTGAATGAGGATGACCGTTCTGTTAGAAAAGTAATAAATATTCTTATTGCAGACGAGGAAAAAGAAGAAAAGCTGCCACGCACAGAAGATTCAAAAATTGTCGACGAATGTGATAAATTAGCAGGAAAAGAATGCATCGAGGAAGTAGAAAAAGCCAAAGAAATGTCTCTGGTTCCGTAAGTATATTACCAGAGAGAACTCAATTACAAACAACCAATAACCTTAAGAACGGAAGACGACAAAGCAGAGCGTACCACGGAGCCAATGGTAATCCTTTCCGACGTTGGTAATGACGGTCTGCAGCGATGTACTACTAATTCGGTAGCATGGAAAATGAAGCCGGCAGATAAAGGTGGTGGTATCGGCAAGAGAGGCTGGATAGAAAAGTGGAGCCGTTTCCTGCAAGCGGTCACCTAGGATAATTTATATAGTATAGTATAATTAGTTTTACATCTAAATATTTTTTATATAGTCCTGTTCTATATCCATTTAATTTCTAATACAGTCGACTAAAATATAGGGATTTAAGCCGCCCGGGTGAATGTACAAAATACTTTGTACATACTTTTGAGTGCGGTTGAGGCGCTGGGGAAATCTAGCAATAAACAAATATTCTAAAATTACATATTTCCCAGCCGCCATAAAATACCACATGTGAACAATTCGGTGATCTTGTGTGCTGACGCATACGATAATGTGTGAGATAATAAAGGTTATGACGCACACGCACAGATATCAATGCGCTCAGTAGATGCACAAGACCACTTGAATGAGATGTCAAGCAGCCCTGCAATGTTCTCCATTCAATATTAGAATAGATAAGAACAATTGTGTGGCTGCGACTAGGTTAAGTTAGATTAGTTTCAGTAGTACGTAAGCAACATATTTTAGAAATAAAATCAGAATTGAAATAGCACCCAAACCATTCGGTCGTATTCTTTTCTCGCCCTTTTACAATGGGGCTATACAAAAACGTGGACCTATACATAAAGTGTTTCGCCAAAGGAACTAGAACCCATTATGACCTACAAATACCAATTTTTAGACAAATCCGTGAAAAAATGTCGCAAAAATAATTAAAATACCGAATATCGGGAGGTACCGTTATATGAGGACTGTACCAGAACGTGGACCGATATATCTCATTTTCAATACCAACCATCCTAGACACAATACAAACTGCTCTGCTAAATTTTGGCGCTCTACGTCAAATAATATGGGCTGTATCGTGATTTCAACAGACGGACAGACAGACAGACGGACATCGTTAAATCGACTTAGAATTTTATGCTGATTATGAATATATTACTTTATGGGGTCTACGACGAATATTTAAGGATGTTACAAACGGAATGACAAAGTTAATATACCCTCCTTTCCAAGGTGGAGAGTATAAACATTAAGTTCGGCCGGGCAGAATTATTACTATCATCCATCTGAGGGTAAACGAAACATTTTTATATAAAAGTATCTGAATCCAAGCGTATTTCACTTTAATCTTCATATACCAGTAAGACTGTTTGGATAATGCAGTTAAATAAGTGAATGAGGCCGTTATATGGCGCCATACCAAAACGGGAACCTCTGTGGACAATTTTATACTTCAAGGATTGTCATCTATCAAACCCTCTAAAATACCAAATTTGAAACAATTATACGCGTAAATCGTTATATGTATTAGACAAATCCGATGAGAAATGTGGCAAAAATCATCAAAATACCGAATTTCAAGAGATACCGTTATATGGAGATACCGTTATTATACCAAAACGTGAACCGATACACTGAGGGAAAAATCCCGTTGCGAAATCAAGCACGTATGTTGTCATTTTCGCAACGACCCGTTGTTATATTTTTCAACAACGGCTGTTGGTGAATTGTGCACGAACGTGCTCAAATTGACACCGAGACGTGGTCAACTTTCGGTACCAACAACAGCCGTGCTTAATTTGTCCATTTGTAATATTGGTAATTGCAGCCGATTACACACGAGTAAAAAATGACAACGGTGGTGCATGATTCACACACGGTCGTTGTCAATATGACACCGGTCGTGTATGAATTATGCACCACCACCTGCATAATGATGCACCACCGTTGTTACTTTGTACACCGACGTGCATGAATCGTACACGATCGTTGCCATTTTAGCAACTACCGTGTATGAATCATGCACCACCGTTGTCATTTTTTTTACTCGTGTGCAATCGGCTGCATATTTACCATTTTTTCCGTGTTATTGAAAGAGAAAGGACGCATTGTGCAAAAAATTTATTGAAAATGAATAATAATTCGCAAGATCCTCAAAATATCATTGGTGAGTTGTTAGAAATCGATGGCAATATTGTTGTGGTTCGCGATACAAACCATTGCAGCAGTCAAGATGCGGAAAACAATGAGGACGATTATATGTTAAGGGAGTTCTTAAAAGGAATAAATATGGAGTCGCTTTTTGAACAATTAAAAGGTAAGTAAATAAAAATGAATTTTTCAGTTAATCAGTGTAATTAACAAAGAATTTTCTTTTTTGTTCTTTTAGCATCACATGTAACATTTCGCAGCTTGCAGTACTTGAAAAAAGAAGATTTAAAGGAAGCAGTGCCACCATTGGGACTGCGTGTTGAATTCAGAGAAAAGCTCTTTGCTTGGAAAAAACGAAAGGTACGTATTATTTGTTTTACAGAGTTGAACTCAGTATTAATATTGTCATAACAATAGCTCGGGATTGATGACGAAACTATGTCAGTTCCATCTAAAATAGGTGAATGGTGGAAACGCAACGAGACACCTGCAAGTACTCCTGGTACTCCCGACACTACAGGTTCGAACTGCTCAAAAGCCAAAGGAATTTTGTCAGAGGTAAGGTAAGAGTAATATTTGTGTAAGCATAGTTAATGTAGTTTTTTTATTTAATATAGGATCTAACGGAATTGTTAACACATACCTCGAAGGGGAAACTAGCGCTTGAATGTAGTAGCGTTAATAAGAAATTAAGTGACGAGCAAAGAGATGATATAATTAATATAATTATTGAAGATATTTTAACCAACAATGTTACTCTTTACACTCAAGACTATATGCGCATATTGGATGAAATTTGTTCCGTTTTTCCTCTTGAAAACGAAATGAGGGTAAGATTAACAATATAAACAACGTATCTGATTATGTAGTTTCTTAACTTATAATATGTCTTTATTTTTAGGATTATTATTACATTTCAAGAAAAGGAAAGAACAACGCAAGCGGAAAACTTTATGCCAAGTATAGAAACAAGAAGTCCAAAAGAATAAAGCTTTTGATTTCCGAGCCTAGCACAAGCAAAGCAGCAACTCACACATCTCCTAATTTTTGTAACAAAGATGTTCCCGAAATTGATGAATCAGTTGAAAATTCATTGAAAGCTTCCTTACTAAGAGAATGTAATGATTGGGGATCGATCTGCGAAAAATGGAAAAGATCTTTTAACATACGGCAAAGAGATATAAAAAATTTAAGTAGCCATACATTTCTCCTTGAATGGACGAAGTTGTCCGATGCAAGAGCTTCAGAATTGGTAAGTAGCCATGAGCTATTTATTTGTATATGGATACTAATGTTTCGTTTTAGGTCAACATTGATTTCGATATTATGTATCCACAGAAAGGCAATCTTCTACTTTCTAAATGGGACCAATTTAAGAAAAAAATTTACAATTATTATGGGAAAAATATTCATAACGAACATTGCAAACAACTCTTCGCAAATGTTTTGACGGCAAGCAGCATAGGTAAATTTTAATTCCTGATTTATCATAAACATTAAAAGTAATATTTATTTTATATTTCGGTTGCAGATGCTCAAGATTATATATACGCAATACTGTTGAATTCAGTTTTACCATCACCTGCTAGGTTTAAATGTGGAAACGGTAAATTACGAAAAAAAGTAACAATAGCTGATTCGCAGGAAAGTTTCGTACTGCGACTACCGACAATTAACGATTATAAAAGGCAAATTGATACAGTCACTGAAAAGTATTACAATGCTGGATTAACTATACAGCCATTTATAATTGTGGAGGGTTTGTCCGATTTCAATATAAAAGGTTTTTATGTTTTTTTTAACCACAATTTGTTAAAATTTCAATCGTTCCTCGAATGTTTAGATACATGTTTTAAAATTTTTCATGCACTTTCTTTAAAATATCCAAATGCCTGCCAAATTCCATGGATTTTTATCCAAAAATATTTTTATGAAATTAATACTGTATATGATATAAAATCAGTTAATTTGACTTCACTTATTAATTTCTGCAACAATAATTAAAGTACAATTCAAAATGTATATTTGCTTTCGTTGCCGTAAGCATTTTGATAAGGCAAATCTTTTAATAGCTCATTTGAAAACAGACCATTTAATGTCCACTAAATTTTTAAAAGTACAATGCGTTCAGGACAACTGTAAGCAAACATTTACAAAATTTACGTCATTCAGAATTCATTTAGAAAAACTTCACAAGAATCACACAAAAGCTCCACCAATGGTTAAAGCCATTAATGTGCCAGTTGAAATGTCATCATCAAAAGAAAATGATTATACAAACAGTGAAACTGTTATTAACAACAATACAATAGAAAAGGATTTAAATGTTTTGAAAAAGAAAACCTTATATCTGTCTTTACAATTACATGGTCAAAGCTATATGCCTAGAAATCATGTTATAGAAATACAACATTCTGTTTCAATTCTGCTTTCATCCATTTCATGTACAATTGAAAAATATATAACTGATCATCCAAATTATGAAGACTTAAGGTACTTACTAAACTTTTGTAAAAATCCTTTCGAAGAAACTAGAACGGAATATAGACTTTTAAAAATTTTAAAAGAACTAAACTTTTATGATGATCCAAAGGTTTATGTAATTAGCAATCAAGTCTCGGAAATTGTTATCAGCGGAAATCCCAGTTTAGGTCCAAAGTTATCCAATATTTATATAATGCCACTGAAATTCATGATAAGTGCCCTTTTTAAAATTCCAAATCTCTTAGATTTGACATTAGAAAACTCCAAAAAATTCCTAAATTCACCTGTTTTACAAAATTTTACAAACGGTGAGTTATATAAAACTAAATTATTAAAATATCAGTACAATTTAGTTATTCCCTATGTCCTTTACATGGATGATTTTCAAATTAATAATCCTCTTGGAACCCATACATTTTCCATATGTGGTTGTTATATTAGCTTTCCTTCAATGCCACAGCACTTGTTGTCAAAACTTGATTATATATTAACTGCTGCGTTTATACCATCAAAGGATTTAAAAGAACGTGGAAATGAAGTTTCATTTCACAATCTTGTAGAAGAGTTAAAAATTCTAGAAGAAGGGGTTGAAATTTGTGTTCAACAAAGTGTTCAGAAGGTGCATTTTATTTTAGGTGTAATTATTGGAGATAATTTAGCAGTTAATAGTATTTTAGGCTACGTGCAATCATTTAACTCTAAAAGATTTTGCCGGGTATGTAGAAGAAAAAAGTCCCAAATGCAATTCGACGCAATTCAGCATTTAGATAGTTTAAGAAACCAAGAGAATTACAACTCAAATGTATTGGAAAATAATTTTCAAGAAACAGGTATTAAAAACAAGTGTATCTTCGAATCTTTACCAAATTTTAACGTCACTGAAAATTTTTGTTTTGATATTATGCATGACATTTTCGAGGGCATATGTGTCTACGATATGTCTAATGTAATTCTCGGGCTGATTCAAGAAAATATTGTTACGTTAGATTGTATTAACAGCAGAAAATCTTTATTCCAATTTGGAGAAATTGAAGTGGGAAATAAATCTGGACCACTAGATTTATGTAGATTGAAAAACTATAACTTAAAAATGACAGCTAGTGAAACTATGTGTTTTACTAATTTTTTACCTTTAATGGTAGGCGATTTAATTCCTTTCTCCAACGATCACTGGAAAGTTTTTATAATATTATTACAAATAATCGATTTACTTTTAAGACCAAGTTATATAGAAGACGATTTAATAAAATTGGAAGAATTAATTAGAGATCACCATTCACTTTATATAACATTATACGGTTCGTTAAAACCGAAACACCACTTTCTTGTCCACTATCCCACAGCTATCCGAAAATGTGGTCCCCTTAAATATCTCTGGAGCATGAGATTCGAAGCTAAACACAAGGAAGCAAAAGCCTATTTAGGAAATACTACATCAAGAGTAAATCCCTGTCGTTCATTATCTATTAAGTCTGGATTGAAATTTTCCAATTTTTTATTAAAACACGAAGATAACTTAGAACCAAATGTTATCATTAATACGCATACCATCGAAGATTTGGCAAAAGAGGAATATTGTTACAAAAAAAGTAAGCCAGTTTTAAATTACCAAAATTGCAAAGTGTCTGATGACATTTTTTTTAAGGGAACTAGGTATAAAAAAAACTATTATTTAGCAACAAATAATGCCGCAATTGAACTTTTCAAAATTAAACATTTAATAATTGAAAATGAAAATGTTTACATTTTATGTAACCAAGTAAAAGTTAAAAACTTTGATTACCATTTACAATCGTATGAAGTTGGTTCTCTGAATGAGGATACAATTTTTTTAATACCAATTTTAGATTTTATTACTTACCCATTTCACTTATATCCTATGAATAATGGAAAAGTTTATTTCAGATTTAAGTTAATTTAATTTGTTTCTATACATTGAATATATGTAATTCGAATTGTTTTGTTAAATCAAATATGTATTTATATTGAATTTATGTAATTGGTTTCGTTCAATAAAATACTTTTCAAAAAATGTCGTTTCTTCTACTAAGGGTATAAAATGGAAAAGGAACGGATATCAAAAAATGACCACCATTGATTTCAATCTGACAACGGGCGTTGACAATCCGACAACGGAGCGTTGACAATCTGACAACGAAGCGTTGACGATCTGACAACGAAGCGTTGACAATCTGACAACGGGGCGTGCTCGAAATGACCACGTATGTGCTCATTTCATGCACATCTGTTGTTGAAATCGTTGCCAAAATCTCGGTGTCAAAATGACAACAGCGTGCTCATTTTGACACCAAACGTGGTTGATACACTATCATACACGGATGTGGTCATTTCATACACGGATGTTGTCATTTTTTCTCTGGGTGTAGATCATTTTCAATACCAACCATCCTAAACACAATACAAATTTTTCAGCTAAATTTTGACGCTATACGTCAAATAATGTGGGCTGTATCGTAATTTAAACAAACAGACATACAGACGGACAAATCGACTTATAGTTTTATGCTGATTATGAATATATATGCATATTAAATGGGGTCTATGACAAACATTTAGTGATGTTACAAATGGAATAAAAAGTTAATATGCCCTCCTTTCAAAGGTGGATGATATAATAGCATTAAGGACTAAAACTACGGGCCGGCAACGCGGACCGGGCCAGCTAGTCTATTTATATAAACGAAAGTTGTGTTAGTTACTACGCTTATAACTTAAGAACCGCTGGACTGATTTTAACGATTCAAACAAATTCGGAATTTTCTTCTCTCCGAAAAGGATAATATCCAAAAAAAATCGCGTAAAAATGTGATATTTTAACATTTTCATTTTGACTTTTGAAATGTACAATAGTAATGTTTTATTTTGCATGATTTTTTTCCATTTTTACTTATTTTTTTCTAATGTACATTTGTAGTGTTTTTTATATATATATATATTTTTTTTTTTGAATTCAAATATTAATACCAATTTATTTAATTGCCTTGATTTCTTGAGAAATGAAATTGATGGCGAGTTACATGGAAGCGTAGTACCGAATTATGTGGTGGCGAAACGGAATAGATGATGTCGAAATAATTTAATGGAATCGAATTTTAAAATAGAAGTACATTCTATTGACAAACTATATAAGGATCTTTAAACATTTGCTGTAAAAAAATCAGCGAATAAGTTGAAGATTTTTTCAATGTGTTATTCTTCTTTTGTCAATTTTTTTTCAATTTGTATTATCTAATTGAATCAGTAAATTTTTTGTGAACAAAATAAAGAATAATTTTTCACTATATACAAATTTTCACCAAAAAATGAAATAAGTGGGAAATACGATGTCAACTGACATCTACCTTTCAACTCCAGGGCCGACATCGTGGTTCAGCTGGAAGATGCGAACACATTTGAACAAACAAAAATTGCCGAAAAAGCCTAATGGGGATCATTTTAAAGCGTGGAACTACTTCTTTCCTGTCACAATAATCCGTCCAATGTACAATCAGAAAAATACCAAATATAAAGGGTGGAAAATAGTAGAGCGAATGGGACTTTTAGTAAGATAAAGATTTCTATCCTTCCAGAAATTCTTCCCAAACATTCAAGATAGGTCATGATATCGATCATAACTCACGGATAAGGGACAACCCGATTTCATATTTATATAACCATCGTATGATTTAAGCTATTTTTGGTGTCTTGGTCACTTTTTTAATATTTTAGCCATTATTTGGAATTTTTGTTTCTAAGGAGGTAGAGAATCTCTTCGCATAAAGTTTGAAATTTTCAGAGTAGGGCCCATTTTGGTCTTGACCACATTCATTAATTGACTTGGCTAAAGGTTGTATTTATGCTACTCTGGGGTAGGGAACCATCGTACAGATAATTGCCACATAGGAATTTATTTAAGTAAAGTCCCCACATTGGCGTATTCCCAAGTCCACTTTCACATCTAATTGGTGGTCAGAAAAAAAATGTTGTTTTCTATTGAATTTGTAACCCCCAAGAGAATATTGGTTGGGCCACGTTTTGGTATAACCCTTATATAAATGTATCCCTGACCTGACAGCTGTGACCGTGGTCTTGGCCACGTTTTTCAACTGATTTGGCCATTATTTGCTGTATTTAGGCTACTTTGTGAGTAGAGAACCATCTTACAGAAAAATGTCAACATACGTAAATATTTTGGTACAGTCACCATATAGTCCCCAGGCCCGCCGATCTATAGTGATGTTTACCGATTGGCGGATAACAACGCGGGTATTGTTTAATCGTTATTGAATTTTACCATGAACAAGAACATAGACTTTTTGGGGACTCTAATGCGCAATTTGAGGTGCTATGGTAATGGGTGTAAAAGCGTAATTAACTTTGACTATTCAGAAATTATTCTGCCCTCCTTCCATAGTTATTTATTTCTATTTAGCCTAATCAATATTTATATTAAAATTTGTTCACCTTTATGAGCTAGATTTGTGAAATATTATGCTATGCAAAATTTGCATTAAAGACTAATACTACGGGCCGGCAACGCGGACCGGGCCAGCTAGTATATATATATATTCGTCTGATTTGCCTTTTATTGTGCACCAAACGTGTAATATCAGCCAAATAGTACGGATATAGCTATAGCCCCCA